CCAAAAGAGAAATTATTTATTTATTGGTTCAGAGTTAGCATAACGAGCTGGGAAGGAGAGATGCCGAGTTCAGAGGAGGAGTGAAGGCAGTGGCACTGGGTCGACTTTTATTTGACATTTTTTAAATTATTATGATCATTATTATATTACACTATTATTGCTAATTATTTATTCTTTTTGTATGGGTTCCGATTTGAAAGATCTCATAACTAATATTTGTTGTAACAGTGAAAGTTGTTTGCCAACAAATAAATTACTGACATAGCTCTGTGGTCTGTTGACTTATTACTGCTAATCTTTTATCTTTTTTTAATGTTAAAACAAAACAAGTTTGAAGTGCTTCAGTGTCTATTGGCAACACAAAAAAGTTTATTCTTCAAAGTCAATTTTCAGTTTTCTCTTTAAATATTTTTGATCATTTTTCTGAACCTTCATTCCTGTATGAACAGTATAGTTCCCTGGTTTTCTCAGAATGTCAAGAGCTAAACTTGTTGGTTAAAATTTTCAGAACTGATTTGCTTTATAAATATACATCAATTTTAACAAAAACACATGTGGTAAAAATGCAATATTGTTTAAATCATGTATTTGTTTTCCACTTGATAATAGTCTTATCCATCACAGGAAAAGCAGCTGGCCCTTCGGGATTTTAAAAATGATCCGGTCTGACCTTTGTTCACAAAGTACTGCATTACTGTCGTTCCATTTTCTTACTATAATCATTTCTATGCCAAGGCCTGAGGCTATATGTTTTTCAGACCGATTAGAACCAAGTAAGAAAAGGTCAAAGACACCGCGACCTTATCAACATTTTCCCCACTTAAGATGCATTTGTATGCTAATGTTGAAAACAACAAAAATGACATCATGGCAAATAATAAATCAATTGAATTATTTTGAGCGCAAATACATTTTATGGATGAGAAAAAAAACGTGTTGGCGAAACATAATCGCAGAACCAGAAAATATCAGAATATAAAAGAATAGTGTGGAACGGTGTAACATTTTTTTAATCGCTACAATGCATCTTTCTTGAAAACCAACTAAAGCCATCAAAAATATGACATCCTCCTCCTCCTCCTCCCCCTCCCACTCCCACTCCCACTCCCACTCCCCCTTCTTCCCCACCTCCACGCCGCTGCCAGAGTGGCAGGCTGATTAAACGAGCGCTGGTCTATGTGGGTCATATCGCTGCTGGAGCGCTCTGATCGGTTAGTGCTGCCTGCCTGTGTTATCTTCCTCACTCTGTTTCCTCCTTCAAGGGACGGCTTTCAGTGTGTCTTACAAGGTGACACGTGTCTCACAGACCAAAGGACGGTGACTGAGGAGATGAGCAGGAGAGTATTTGAACGGGGAACGTCTGAACGTCTGCATTTTTATACATGAAGTCAGTCAGGCTATCTTTGGAGCTAACATAGGCTCAAATATTTTTGAGTTGGTTTAAAAAAAAAAAAACAAACACATAAATCTCACCAAGGTGTACGAAGCATAATTAGAAGTCGGACTCAGACACCCTGAAGTATTTGTCATTTTATGGAACAAGTGGATAAATACGCCCCAGTTCTCAACACCGTCCATACTGTATTTGCGTGTGATGGTTTAAATCCCAGAGTTGTTTAAATTCTGTTTATCTAGAAGCAAACAGGGTTGATGGATTTACTTAGTCCTAGAGCTGATCAGTGGCCTTTTCCTACAACGAGTCCCTTATTACACTGTGATGGATGTGACCGGGTCTGTCCATGGCACCCTGTGTGAGCAATGAATGTGAATGAACGGCTTGGCGACGAGCAGCTTTCATTGTGGAAGTGGCACTACACTGTGGCCTCTGTTAATTAAGGCAACTGTGGCATTTAAAGCGGAGTTTGGATTTGATTAAACGAGATGATCCAGCCTATCCATATAGAGTATGACATTTCAAGATTTCCATCCCATTTCCTTCTTCCGCACCGTTAGTCACGTTAACGCACGAGGCGCACGTTCACTAACCGTTCTTAAATCTAGCTGAGGTTCTGATGGGATCAAGTGGAAGGGAACACACGCCCGCCCCGCGCTCTAATAAAATCTGTGGCCTGTCATAGTAACGAACTGTTTGTCAACATCAACCGTCATAACGGCAGAGAGCCCTGTATTAATTAGAAGTGCAGTGACAAAGAACTCTCCAGTCTGATCTACGTAACTGCAGTTTTTGGCAAACTTTACTTCATTTTTTTTTTTTTAAAAACAAGATGGTGGAAGGGTGAAGAAATCACAGCACAAATCACAGCACAAATCACACAGAATCAAAACAAACTTTAACACATGGAGTTCACTCAGGAAAAGGAGAAACAAACAAAAGGAGGTGCTGTGAGTGGCAGGTCTATGTTGTCTGCAGGGGAAGAGTTTACAAGACACAGGTGGTGATGGTTAGGTGATCAGTGAGGGAAACACAGGAGGCAGGAGCAGGTGGAGGAACCGGGGCAGAAAGAAGAGGTGAGGCATTATTCCACACAAGATGTAAGTTTAAAAACATGCAGATCGTGAATAGTTCACCTAAATTCACCAACCCAACCTAACCCAGCTAATCCAGCTAACCCAGCTAACCCAACCTAACCCAGCTAATCCAGCTAATCCAGCTCTGTGGTACAAACTCAGACCAAACAAATAAGATAATTTATTTTCTACTCATTGACAGGAAACTATTTCAGTCTCAAAATAAATAATGTTCTCTGTGTAAAATAGAAAGTCTTTGAACCAAACCTGTAAGTGAGCAGAGCTTTTTCACCAGTATTGCATTTCATTAAAAAAAATATAAAAATGTCTCCTGCTTTCTCACTTTTCTCACACAGAAAAGACTCATTAGCGTACTCAGTGCTAAGGCGCTACTTCGTTAAATCTAACAGTGAGTCTCGCTGCTGTTTTTGCCCCTGATGTTAAAATTCTTCTTCTTAAATAAACCGCCCATGAAGCCACTGAGGCACTGAACTGGAGAAGGAAAACAAATACGGCAACACTGGCTGTTCGGTGCACACCTGGTGGTAATGAAAAGCCATTACAGTTACACTCTATCAGGCTTGGATCGGCACATGTTTTTTGAGTATTTGAATGTATTTTGAGTGTCTGATACTACCTGATACTGGTACAGGTGTTGTTGCATCTGTGTCTGGAGCTGACTGAATTTATCTTGAGCCCCACGTTAGCAGCCTCCCGCTAATCTATGTGTATCCAATTAAATTCCATTTCAGTGAGTCACACTTGCCCCATATACAGCAGCTGCCTGGGTGATATTGGTCTAAACACCCTTTTGCCCTCAATCCGAACTACAGAAATAATTACATTGGTTAAATACGAAACGGCTGAAAAATACTGGATGCTAGATGCTACATAATTAGCAGAGATAAATGGTACAGATGATGACAGCAAGAGAAGAGTGGATTTAAGAAAGTCATTTTTAAGTCCCAACTTCTGTTAGCCGTACTCACACTAGACGAAGCTCAGTGTGATCCTGTAGTTGAACCTTGTGTTTACTGTAGGTCTGTGTGCTGCGCCCTCACTTGTTTTCCCATCACCACAATTGTACGTGCTCAGACTAAAACAATGAAAAAGACACGCAAAGGCCATGTGGGGTAAAATACTCTCAACTGTGAAAGAGAATGAGGGGGAGGTTTGGGGGGGGGGGGGGTGGGGTG